AAATTAAGGATTTTTTTTGACTGATTAATGCTTTAAATTTGTAACTTTTATATTTATAGTCTACATAACATCTTAAATCTCCCAAAATATATACAGTGTGTTCTGTTTAAGATAATGTATGCTAAATGTTACATAATAAAATTCGTCCTGGAATTAATAGAGGATATTTTAATGTAATTTTATCATCGGTAGTTTAGCAATTTTCTATCTAACTTTGGATTTCTCCATCAGTATGAGTGTTGGAGGGACTTAATAAACTATCTAACAATCAAAACACAAATTTTAATTCACATTTCTTTGATGTTGCACTGCATTTTATGCCAATGATTTTTATGTAACTATATAAGGACTTAAAAGGGCAAATTTCTGGCATCCCTACAAAATTTGTTTGTATACAAACATATCAACTTACTATTTCAATACTTTAATTTTGTCGGATATACTTGGTACAATAATGTTGAATCTTTTGAAACCTAGGAATGACAAAGACTTAATTTACCACTAGAGGTCAGCAAATGTCTATTTTAAACTGAAGACTAATGATTTAATGGAGTATATTTACTTTCCAAAAAAAGTAATTTCAGTCACTTGAACTAACAAAAATAAATAATAATATGCTTAGCAACAAATACATAAAATGTCTAAAAAGAAGATAATTCAGTTAACGTGTAACAAAAATCTATTTTAAGATTAACATTACAAAAAGCGAAGTCAAAGTACTTACTTTTATTTCCTTAGTTTTCTGTCAGCAAGGCATTAGTGTCCATGAGCTAAAAATCTGTACATATCTTTGTAAATTAGTATGAGTTGGTGTTTGCATCTCTGATGATGTGCATTTGTTCCTTGTTGTTTATCTATACACAGTGCTTGTATTTAAACAATATGCATTTTTGTGTATCCTGGTCCAGGTGATTCTGAGGCCATGGTGTGACCTGCGGGGAGAGATGGAGAGAAGGATAGAAGAAGAAGAGAGAGAGAGAGAGATAGAAGAAAAGGAGAGAGGGAGAGAGAGAGAGAGGCCCAGGCAGCTGTATTTGGAATAAACAGACATTACCCCGCTGTGCTCTAATTTACTGCAGAGTGGGAATTAAACTTTGGGCTCGTCCCACCCCTCCACAGGCCAGTGCTCTGCGCTTCTGGCCATCAACAACTACTTGCACAATGTGCGTTATTAAAGCACTACTCCACCCAAACTCTGTCTTTTTAGTGTCAAATTCGCACCCCACAACCACTACCCCCACCCGTGGCTGTGAAAAAAAAAAAAAAAAATGCTTGGC